CTGGGAGTCGAACCTGCGCCCCCTCGCCCCAGCCGTCAGTTACTAGTCCGGCGTCTTGACCACCATACCTCTAGATCACGAAGAGCCAGCCACAATTTCTCTTCAAAAGTCGTCTCACTGTCAGCTATGCAATAGAACTTTGAAGCCCCCCCTGCTCCCCCTAATTCACCTATAAAAATTTCCTGCAGCAGATATGTTTGGACCATAGACCACTATTTAGTGTCCGAGTTTGAAAATTATAACTTAACATTAAAGGGAGTTAGACGGCTTCGAAATTCGAACCCCACCCTGACATTTTATTTTATTTATTATATTTTTGTTAATATTCTATTTTGCGCTGTTTAGCAAAGAAAGATGCCCAATTTTACTCATAGAACACCTTAGGCATGAGAAACTGTCGAATATATTGTAAAAATAATTTAAAACAATGGAAATAAGCCAATTTTCCTGGATTTTTCTAGTTTTTACACATTATTCGAAATTTTAACAATTTAAAAAAATTATATCCTATATGTTGGATCCTATAAAATATAGAATAACACAATAATAAAGTAATATAATGCAAAATAGGCGAAAGAGAAGGAAAATAAATTTTTTTGAAAAGTTGTTAAAGCTGGGATTCTAACATGCGCACCCTCGCCCCAGCCGTCAGTTAGTAGTCCGGTGTCTTGACCACCAGACCACTCGAACACTAGAAGCCAGTCACGATTTCGCATCAAAAGCCCTCTCACGGTCAGCTATGCCATTGACCTTTGAGGGGCCCCCTGCACCCCCTAATTAACCTATAAAAATTTGCTCCAACGGACATGTTTGAACCATTGACCCCTACTTAGGGTCACAGTTTGAAAATTATAATTTAAAATTAAAGAGAGTTAGACGGCTTCGAAATTCGAACCCTCACTCCACCATTTTATTTTATTTTTTATTTTTTTATTATTATTTCATTTTGCGTTCTTTAATATTTTTATCATTTTTCTTTTGATCAGTTAGGTATATCAGTTTTACCAGTAATGTATATCAGTTATTAAAATTTATGTAATAGTATGCTTGTTATGTATCAGTTAGGCTGTATATACAGATCAAACACACTAGACATGTAGTTCTTAGGATCAAAAAAAAATTTCAACGGTCCAATGTATTCTTTTTCAGTTGTTGTTGACATTGGACATTAAGGCAAGGGTGGCGATTGTCCTCGTTTTCCAATGGCGCCATCTATGGCCAAGAATTTGACTTCTGCCACACCCATACGTGACACCCGTTTATAGGGCGGAAACATTCATACATCTATTCATTCATCCACAGATAGTAATTTTTACCAGAGAACAGTCAAGTTCCTATTCAATATCCCCAGAGGTATAATTTCTTATGGGAAAATGTAGAACTTTGCGACCCAACAGATTTAACGTCACTATTTACTAAACGAGTCACCATTTACTAAAAAAAGTCACCATTTACTAAACAAGGAGTCTTCGGCCGGCAGGATTTGAAATCCCATTCTGACGAACGTGAGTACAGTGTGCTGCCAGTGTGCTATCAGGGCCATTTTTTTCAGTTAAGACACCAAATTAAAAGAAAATATATATTAGATTGATTCTGCAATGAAAATTATAAAGATTATTATTTTTCAATATACAGATTTTATGCATATATATTTAAGTGGAACGCATTCGCAAACCAGGAATAATTAAAAAAACAAACAAACAACAAAAATGAATATTAGATTAAGTAATTTTTCAAAATTTTGAAAAGCAATTTCACTCGATTTCTTCACTCTTCACTTGATTTTTTTTCATTGCGTATATAAATTTTTTTTGTGCAAAAATTATTTCTGAGTAAAAACGTGTGTTATAATATAAAATTTTCCTGAAAAATGATTCTGATTCAATCCTAATTGCGAGTTTCAAACTAATTTTAATCAAAATAATAAGCAGTTTCAAAATCCTGTTATTTAGAAGAAGAAAAATTAGCTCGTTTTAACAAATATAGAGCGTTAACTAATTCTGAAAGATTTAAGCATCCGCAAAGTCTTAAAATGCATAATCGCTTTAAAATCTTCAAAAATTCTGAAGTCATAAGCTTATGCTATCAATGGGATTGAAGAGCGTGCCTTCATATAAAAATTATTTAAGGAGAAATTTCATTATACTAAGCTTCGCTCCATCAGATCGTTCGGAAATACCTCCAGAGCACATTTAAAGATTAATTAATTAATTAGTTTTAAAACTAGTTAATTAATTTTAAAACTAATTCACTATTACATAAGTGAGCATATTAAATTTATTTAGAACAATCAATTTAACACTTCTATTCTGCCTTATGTAATAAAAGGCAAGGAGTTTTATATTTGAATGTTAAAGTTAAAACTACTAGAAAAATCAGTACCAAATACTAACATTCTTGCTATGGGAAAGAATCATTGTTATCTATGGAAAAATTCAACTTAAGCTGTTAAATAAACTTGATATAAATTAATAAGATGCATATTTATTTGAATTAGCAAGAGTCTCTAGGATTATCTAACCTTCAAAGGAACATATATTATTCCATTAAGCGTTCTTTAACAAAGAAAGATGCA